TTTGGAAAGAATGTGGAGGTATGGCTGAAAATAAACAAAAATGCTGCTGGTGGTGGCTTCTGTGGTACAGCCTGGGGCTAACTCCCCATGAAGTTGAGCAGGTGCCTCGTTTGGGCTGCACAGCCAGTATTGATAATGTGATGCCACAAGCCACACTTCTGCAGCATAAGCAGAGCCTGGGCTTTGGGCAAGGGCCGAATATGGCTCCCCTGTGACGGCCTCCTTCTGCTCCACTGTAAGATCCATGCAAGTAGTGGTTCCAAACAAAAATCTTCCTTCATATTCGTGTTTAACCCTAGCAACAAACATATCCTTTGGCTCCCATATACTAGAATTCTTAGCCCTTTTCCTTCTTTCAAGTATTGACACCTATTCAAGCCCAGTTCAAAATTCAAGTGATCCTTGTAGATTTCCCATCAGCAACTATCTCAAAGTATCACAGAACCTCAGCAAAACCAGGCTATCCGTGCCTCCAGCATAGCTGAGGTACATGAGGGCTCACATTCCCAGTGCAGGCAGGCTGAGGTGTGGCAGATGAAGTAGTTACGGTTGTCTGCCCTGCCCTTTTGTAGGAGGTTGCTTTCCCCACTTTATGCTGTGTATAATATGACCATTCATGTATGTTCCTTATGCTCCTCAGCTGCTGCAGCTTATCCTCTGCTGCATTAATGTCAACTGCCTGCTTTTGGCTCTTATCTCGGGGATATGAATTCCTATAGGCAACAAGCTCTCAAATAGTTAAGCACAGACTGCTTATGCTTTTCAGGAGCTTTTAATCTTAAGTCTGTATATGTTCCATCCCGCAGTCACACAAACAATTCCAGAGAAAAAGGATTGCTCAGTAATGGAGGGAGGAGAGGAAGTCTCAGTTCTCCAGACACAGTTTGATACTTCCTGGTTCTGTTTCTTTCAATATACAGCTTAGACCAGCAGTTTCTGAGCTAGCCATGAAGTGCAGTCCAGGACATGAGAATTCACATAAAATCTTGCTGTACTGCTCCCCTCATTTGATTAATGCCCTCTTTTCTGCTCTGACTTCTGTTTCCTTCCTGCCAATAATGGGCAGGTGCCCACCTAGCTGGCTTTTTGCTCTTCCTGGCTCTCAAGCTGCCTCACATCAAGGCTGGCACATCAGAAGACTGTTACCTTACCACAATATTTGTCTGCTCTTTCTGCTAAAAAGCATGGAATTTGCCACTGGCAGGAGGATGCAGCAAGTACCTCCCTCTTGGCCATAACAGAAGGAGAAGATGTAACAGTAATCAGCTACAAGGTTCAGAGTTGGCCTTGAAAGTACCTTGGTTCAGTCTGGGAGAATGAGTTGTTAAAATCATGTCAAGTTGCCCAAATGACTATTCGAAAGAAATGCCCATTGTTGACAAATTTTGACACTTTTTTTCTTTACTTGACATCTGCTTTGGAGGAGAAATACAAAATTATCAAGCAGTTCTTCTCTGGGCGTAGATGCATGTGCTGGTTTGTAATGGATTAATTCAACTGTGAGTCATTTGAAGATTAATCCACTTCTCTTTCTTCTCCACTCTGTTCTTTGTCTTGGCCTTACGTATTGGTTTGGACTTAATGCCCTTGAAACTGGAGGTACTTTTGGACGGTTCATCACAATAATAACCCTTCCTAATCTTGTTGATGGACGACTGGATACAATTCTGAAAACTATAAGCTATTATGCAGGATAAAATTCCATTAAAACAAGGACCAGCTTGGGTAGGTTTCTATGTGCATCAAAGATCAGTGCATGAGAGAATTTTATTGTATGTAGACCCTGTGTTTAAAATGAATCTTGGTCACCCTTCATAATTAACTTTTTACTAGGATAACCACACATATGGGCAAAGGAAAGCATCTCTAGCATAGAGTCTTGCAGGAAGGTAAGAAGGGTATATAAAAGATTGCTGCTAGAAAACATCATAGAGAGAATGCTTTGCTTCCTGTGCTTCCTGTTCTGTTGTGTAGTGTTGCTACACGCTGATAACAATCTCCTGCTTGCTTTACACTGCTTGTTTGTACATAGAATGCTCCTGAATGAAACACCACCACCATCCTCATGTTTATTTTAGTGCATGGAAAACTGCAGGAAGTCTTATTTCAAGAATTTTGTTAAAACAGACTCTAAAATAACCTGAGGGAAAGCTCAAGTTTTGTTACAGGTTACCAGCATTCTTTAGATATGAACATGAACTGTAAGGTCTATGGTTTTTAGAGCAGCACTGACAGGAAGGTGAAGGGGCAAGAGAAAGCTCTCCTGATGTCAAGCTGAAATCCGGACCACAGAGCGACATCAGAAGATGCTAGAAGTAACTTGCAGAAATAATAGCACGTGTCTTTTTTCACTGTATTTCTTGACAGGGAAGCCTTAAATCATGAACTTTCCACACTTTTCAATGAGATGTGGGATATGGATGTTAACCGCCTTATGCCTGGGAAAGACTACACAATTGATTTGCAGGTAACCAATTGCTAAGTCACATGAGGATTAAGGGCAGCATGGTTCTGTAGGAAAAGGTGTTGGCAAAAACTTCCTTTTGCTTGTGCTTTATCATTTCCACAAAATGCAGACGCAGGACTTCCTAATAATGGGAGAGGGAACAGTACAGAAAACACATTAATGATCCACACCACCTGGGCATTGGTTCCAAGTGGAGTCTTTTGGGTGTCTGTCTTGGGTCCTGTAACATTTAATATCTTTATCAGTGCCCTGGAAGAGAAGATGGAGTGCAACCTCTCCAATTTTGCAAATGACAGCAAACTGTGGTGTTGAAGTTTCATAGGAAGACAATTCCTAACAAAGAATCCCAATAGCATTATGGGGTTTGCTTTGATTATTATAAAGGCAGGCACTGTCTCCTCTAAAGACATCTTACTTCTTTTATTGTTTTACTCTGATGTTTCTAGGGAAAAGCAGGTGCCACACAGCAAGGTGACAGTGCAGCCAGACGCTTGTTCCACAATGTAAATGAAGAACGCCTGAAGAGCATAAAAACTTTTGCAAGTGAGACACATTCTTTTGTTAATGGTGGAAATGACATGAATAATCTGTGTTGGTTTTTAAGTGTTTGCTAATATATAACATCCTATTTAATTTAGATGGTGATGAGGATCGGGCCTCATATAATTTGAAAGTACTTCCCACAACATTTGCATGGATGTTACCTGTAGCCTCAGGCAGAAGCTCCTTTTGTCCTTAGCCAGATCTAAATTTCTCTGTGGTTCTTCTACTACAAAGTGAAACAGAAGAAATTCTTACCATTGCTTTGATGTTATTCTGGGTATTGAAAAAGATGCCAGTCATCTTTCCTCCTTTGCTCACAGCTTCTAGCCCTTTCAGATAACACTAGGTCCACATCTACTGCTTGCATTTCTGTTAAGGGCTATACTTTAAGTATGTCCGTGAATGCATGTTTCCTTCCCCGATTTTTCTTTTCTCCAGATAGATTTACATTAAGCTAATCAAACAGCCAGTGTAATGGGGAGCGCTGGTTTTCTCTGTTCCCCCCACTCCTCTCTGAGCCACACAATCCTATGCTTAGTGAGGGCGGCTCTGGTACTCAGCAAAACCCTACACCGAGTCCCTTCAGCTCACTAACCTGGCAGGAAATTACTTAGGTTTTTGACCTCACATATTCTTCTATCAGTTTGGTGTGATGAATCAGCCCCCAGAATCCACAGAGTGTCATAGCATGAGTAGATGAAGTGGTGGCAGAGAGCAGGTGGCAAAAGGGGTGAAAAGGAGAAAATTAACCCATTCACTCAGTGGCCATGTGCTCAAGCTCAAGCTGTCTCTTGTAGGTTTATGCTGTATTATTCTTCTCCTAAAGTAATGCCCACACAGCCTTCCACCAGCTTAGCTCAAGTTTATAAGCCTGTCTGTAATTTGGGTGATCAGATATAATTTGTGTTGGTAGAAGGCCATTATTGCTTCAGCACTTGGTTCCATAAAGAAGCTCAGTAGTGAGCTGTTTATCTTAAAAAGAAGTCCAGCATTGTTCTAGCCTTGAGTTACCTCCAAACATACACCTAACAAACAATGTACCCAAGAATGAAATTTGACAAATAAAGGAACATTGTTCTCTAAGCCCTGTCAAGGCATAGTATGTGGCATCTTTCCATTATGGCACTCTCCACTGTCTGGATCACAGGTACAGTTAGGCCTTTGTTCATCAGAATGAGCATGCTGAAAGTTTCTCTTTTTCTGCAGCCTTTATTTCCTTATTGGACAACTATGAGACATCAACTGGCGTAGCAGAAGTAGTGACTCCAGAAGAAATAGCTGAAAATAATTGCTTTCTTGATGCTATCTTAGCAACAAAAGTAATGAAAGTGAGTAATACAGACATTTTTTAGTCACTGAAAACACTGAATTAAAAAGTAAACTGTTGCATGTATCTTGGTATTCTATCCTTCAGCTAGCTCATGAATATCTGCTTAAAAAAAACCTAGCAAAGCCAAACCTTGCCGATTTCAAACATCAGCTCTATGACATCTGGTTCCAGCTCTACGCCAGGAAAGGAGGAAACAGGTATGTTTAATGGATATGGCCCCTGATAATCTCTTCACTATTCTGACTTAGGTAAATGTAAGCCAGGCTGCTGTCTGTTACACGCAGGACTGGAAGACAGCCTCAGGTGTTCATTGCTCCCACACAGGTTGTGTTTAAAGACTTACTAACAGTACACAAGTGGTAAATTGCCTCCAGCTGCACTTTATGTCCCTAATCACAGGCCTTCAACCACAGACATTCATCCACCTTTCAGCCTACCACATCATCCACTTTTCTAACCTGTACTTTATCAGTTTGTCTATGAGTCTGTTATGGGACACAGTGCCAGAAGTCTTGCTAAAATCTGGATAAGCAGCAGTGATGCATCTATGGCATTTACTAGCAACCTTCATGATCAAATTCAGACTTTGTGGCTAGATTTTATTGCAAATTCTGTGTAAAGTAAGAAAGAAAACCTAACAAATCCAGACAAATAAAAAATCTACTCACAAATCAACCTAAGCAAGCTTGTACATCTTGCCTTTTACCTATGCCCATTTGAATTATTAAACACATAAGATACCTATATATTATTCTTTGGTTTATTACAGACCTGATTCTTGTGGTTTTGAACACGTTTTTGTCGGAGAAACAAGACGTGGTAAACAGATCTTAGGTCTGCACAACTGGGTGCAATTTTACCTTCAGGAAAAGCGCAACCAAATTGACTACAAGGGATATGTGACTCGGAAGAACAAAACCAGGGTAAGAAGCAGCAGGGTGCCTTTGCAAGTAAGACAAACGGATCTGGAAATAAAAGCTGTGGCAATGAACCAAGGCACAACAATGCCATCATAGGCTCAACTGTTTTGAACCTGATTTGCCCAGGTGTATGTAAGAAAAAATACTAGCATGCCCTCAAGTCCAGCTGCTTTTTTTTTTTTTTTTTTTTTTGTAAAAACTATTTTATAAAGTAGTAAGGTGGTTACAGAATCACAGCACTGCTGAAGCTTAACCGAGGTAAATGATCACGTATGCTCTGGAAGTCAGGGAAAAGGCTGTGCTCCAGCTATAGCACCCTGGCACAGCAAGGATGACTGAATCTCACAATGCTCTCAGAAATCTTGAGTCAGAAATTCTATCTATCTGCCTGGCTATAGCTGTTTTGGAAATTATTCTGTTGTTTTGTTTATGCTTTCAGCCTGACAAAGACGACCAAGTTTTGAGCATCCAGTTCAGCTGGAAGGGCTCAGTCAAGCCAATTGGAAGCACCTTTATTGGTGTCAGCCCGGAGTTTGAATTTGCCCTTTACACCATCATTTTCCTGCTGTCTGAAGGAAGAGTCACACGTGAAACAGTGAAGATAGAGGAATATGAGCTACAGATAGTTGTTTGCCGCCATGGGCACCACATTGGAACAGCATATCCAGTACTTCTCAACACCAGTAGTGAAGACTAGTACCTAGAGTGATCAGGCAACATTTTCAGGGGGGGAGGGTGGGGTGGGTGAGGGGGGAAAGGGGAAGGAATAGGGACCAAATAGCAGAGTAAATTGATGTGTTGCTTTATACAAGTTATTTTGAGTAAAAATTGATGACTCATTTGCTTTTGGTCTGCAAGAGAGTGTTTAATCAACAGCGTGCCATGGCTCAGTGTCTGACAAGTCTTGAGACATATTACTGCTCATATTAAAAGCTGGACCAAACTTACATCAGCCTTCCTTTGTGCATAACACTATACTTTTCAATAGATAATGGAATTTAGAAAAAGGTCATATTAAAATTGATACACATATTTCTCTTATTTGTTAGCTACTGCATGTCTGGAAAAGAAATAATCACACATTGCTTGCACGTTGCCTTCCAGACAGGAATTTTGATTTGGCACAAACAGAACCACAGTATGTTCTTTTCTCACTTCATAAAACATTAATTTCAAATGCATTTTTACAATTACAGTGCCCTGGACACACAGGAAATGCATTCAGCTGTGAGAATGGTCATCACATCCATCAGATCAACAGCAGGTCTATCACTGCATCAGCTCTGCCTAGGTTTTGTAGAAGCCACAGCTGGCTTTACCCCACCTATCTTTAAAAGTCCATGGTACAGGCACTTGTGTTCCCATTGCAGGCAGCAGTGCCTGAAGTCACTTACCTGCTTGTGTAACCTGCATGAGCATTAGATCCATTGCTATGTATAATCCATTTACTAGATCCCCAGTGACAGTAATAAAACGTCACCGAGGACACTGGTCCTAGTCCTCGACCTCATCACTGGTCCTTCTGCTGATGTGGACATGTCTACCTCTGTTCTTCCACTGTTCCAAGTGAAAAGAAATTTAATGCTTTTCCTTCTCATAGCAGTGCAGAAAAAGGCATATACTGACACCCTCAGAGTGTGCTGAGGACTGGTTAGATATGCACATCCCACAAGATTTTTTTCAACAAAGCAAGGATCTTTGCTCACACTGGTAAAATTTGCTTTTGTCAGTTTGTTTTCCTGAAGAGGACCAGAAAAGTTGTCCTATTGCTGTGGAATGTAAAACAGTAGAAAAGATCATTTGAAATAAAGTACCTTTGGAAAACAGGAAAGACTTCACACAGACCCATGCAGGGATTTAAAGCGTTTTCCCTTTCTTTAAGAATTTTTCGTATACTCCCCATATACTTCGCCAGCCGTAAGAATCTTTACTACTCACGGAATTTGGTCCTAAGCTCCAGTAAACCATGTCCTATAGCACTGGCTGGCATTTATTTACATACTTAGAAATGTTACAGAGAGCAAGCCAAGGGTTCTTACAGCTGTTGAAACTATGTAAGAGGCTCTAGAGGTATGATACATAAGAGGAACAATTGAGATAACAGCAGTAGAGCAGCAACTGATAGGCACTGATGAACAAGTTCACACTTCTCTGCAGCATCAAGAGCTACTGAAGGACGAGAGAGTCCCAGCTAAGGCTCTGGTGTGTATTTGAAGCATGTAGGGATCCGAGGCAGATATTTGGAAATGGCAAAAAATCACTGAGCTGCCACACAGAATACCTGCTCTGTGGAAGGTGAAAAGCACTGAGTGTCCTTCAGGTTGGAGAACTTCCCTGCAGCCAACGGCCCAAAGGTCATGCTGCAGGCCCTGACTGCTCTTCAAGAGTCCTTCTTCATCTTCGCATATGTGGCTGGGCAGAACTGAGAGTACAGTTGAGCCAGCAAAGCCTGGGATGTGACCTCTAACCTTGTCCCATGGCTCAGTTTATTCCATACGTGCACCGCATAGGTGTTCTCAAGGAGCTTGAGAAGCATGGAGGAGCTGATGGCTTCAAATAACTTCTTCCAGTCCTGCCAGGGAATGGGATAAAAGGCTTCTGGGGGAAGAGCAGTCACACCTTTACAGCTCAGAGTGCTCTGAATATTACTGATGGAGCACCACTTCTTGAAGACACGTGTTAGGAGTTCTGGGCCCTGGTGTGCCCAAATCCAGCCATTGTAATTATCCACAAAGTCCTGCATGCAAAGCTCCATGTACTCATTCTTGGGTTTAAAGGACAGAAAGGCCCCATTCAGTACATCTTGAGACTGGATACCGAGGGCATTGGTGAGGTTCTTTAAGTTCTTAAGCACAATGAAGTCTGTGTCCAGGTAGATGCCACCAAATTTCCACATGATGGCAATTCTGCAGGCATCAGACAGGACGGGTAAGAAATAAGGCTCCCAGCGCTGCTGAGCCTGCAAGTACCACTTTGCCAGAGGTGTTCCAGAGAAAAGCTCTGGCAAGTCCAGGGGCCGGATTTCCACATTGGGGAAGCAGCTCAGCAACGAGAAGCCCCAGTGGTTGGGTAAGGAGGAGTTCCCTTTTGCCAAGCCTTTCATGAGCACCACGACCCTTGTCCCAGGGTGCGTGCGGGCTGCTGACTCCACAGAGCACATGAACAGGTAACTTGGGTCAGTTCGCTCCGAGGTCTCCACAAAAAACACATTCTTCTCTGGGGAAGAAGGGGGCCCAGAGGCAGTAGGATGGGGAAGAGAAGGCAAAGACAGTTCACAACTGCTTTGTGTAAGCAAGGTGTAGAGCTGGGTCTCAGCATCCTCTCCAGTTCTCCAGTAGAACATGACAGAGGCAAAGAACACAAAAGAAGCGGTGAGGATAGACAGAGCCCCGAGCCTGTGGCTGAGCAGCACTGTGGTCAGTTTTGGCAGGCAGTTGGACATGCTGGACAGTCTTGCTCCAGTCAGAACCTGCTGTCCCAAGACAGTCGCGATCTGAAGAGAAGGAAAGAGAAAAAAAGACACTGACAGGAAAGGCAGCAGACCACGAGCCTCTGGACAATGCCACAGCACAGCAGAACTGTCCTTCCTTCATCTCAGGACAGCACGCTTAAATTATGCCTTTCCGTAATTTCTGAAACAGTCTCCTGGGTTCTCCATATTGTCACAGGGCCTTCAGATCCCACATCAGAAACTACTGCCCATCTTTGCATCCCCCTGTTTCAAACATAAAATAAGGACAAGTCTATCCTTCCTGTATATCACAAACCCAGACTGATGCTCAGTTCTGCCCATGTATGTTACCCATGTAAGTCGTGCTTGCTGCTTGGAAGGACAATACAGCATTTGATGCACAAATGGCATACCTTCATGTGCACAACAAACTGGGAACACCACTAGAGACTTTCTCATCTAGAATTTCAAGTTATTCTGGACATGAGACAGATATGCAAAAGAAAACCACCCCTAGGACAAGGAAATAGAAATGAACCTAATGAATATTCCTGGAGCTCTGTCAACAGTTATTGTGTGGAACTGCTGCCCTGACAGAAACTTCATCTCATTATGAGAATTTTTCTCCTAATACACAACCTGCCTGTTCCACAAGCCAAACAAAAATACCAAACACCCAGTTCTGCCAGCTGCTATCAAGAGCGCTCACTTTCCCAGGCTGTTGAACCGCAGTTCCTGCCCTTCAAAAACAACTGACTGGCCCTACAGAGAGCCTGGGTCATTTTTCATGGCACTGTAGTACTGCAGAATGGATGGATAGTGGGAGGGGAATTGATACAAGGCAGCTTTGAAGGCAGATGCAGACAGTAAGGACAAGAACTGCCTAGGTAAAGAGAGTTTCAAGGCTGCTTCCCAACCCTACTCCCCTGCCAAGTCCTTGCTTCTACCTCCTCTGGTAGGTAGTGCTGCCTAACCAAACCATCACCAACCCAGGATGCAAAGGCCATGCTGACTGTGACCTGCGCTGCTCTGCCAGTGGAATCTCCAGGTGATGGATATGCAATCCCCCCTCCACCCAATCCTTACTTCCTCTCTTCCTCCTGCAAAAAGGAAGGATGGAGAGGAAAAGATTATGGACAAGACAGCAACAAAAAAAAAAGAGAAGTGATTCTAGCTACATTCTCAGCATTAGCATCAGTATTTCTGCCCTTGCCTTCCATTAAAGTGAAGGACAGCAGAACCAGCACTTCCTGGGCCCACCACTGGGACCCCAAAGATCAGTGCACAAAAGCACATGAAGAAGCAGTGAGGAAGATTGTGGCATTTAGGATGAAAGGAAATAGCTTCAGGTTGCATGAGAGGAGGTTTAAATTGGCTATCAGGAAATATTTATTCACTTAAAGGGTTGTCAATCATTGGAACAGGCTGCCCAGGGAAGTGGTTAAGTCGCTATGCCTAAAGGCATTGAAAAGACATGTAGAGGTGGCATTTAGGGACATGGTTTTGTGGTGTACTTGGCAGTGCTAGGTTTACAGTTGGACCTGATGATCTTAAAGGTCCTTTCCAACCTAAATAATTTTATGGTTACTCCTGCCTCCCTCTGCTCCATCTCCAAATCCTCATAATCCAGAACAGGAATTTCAATATACAGCAAAAGCTTTAACCAAACAACTGTAACCAAACAGAAGGAAAGCTGGCATGATCCCATTTGTCATTCACCCGTTACTGTGGCTGGCTTACATACTAAACAATCCATGTAGCCAGAAAATGGCTTGTCAGCCACACTGGGAGGTTTCCAAATGCAACAGCACAGAGCCACCACTCTCCACAAGGGACTCTGGGGACAGAGGAAAGGCAGCCAGTATACAAATCATCAGGTCTGCATTCCCAGAACACTTTTTTCTCCTGAAGGAAAACACCAGCATATGCTGTGAGTGCTACAGGCAGGAAAAAAAACCTTAGAAAACAAAACACACTGGGTTTTGCATACCTATTTTCCTCCTCCTCACCACACTGGTTGAATCCTGTAAATCATTCTTAGCTTGATAAGCTGTAGAAGAGAAAGCAGGTACAGGCTTGAGGGGACAGCGCCTTTGCTATAGAGGAGGCAGGAAAGAGCAGCACTAACAGTGATCAAGCTTCAAGGTTACATGCATATTTTTAGTAAGAGGAAGAAAATCTACCACAATACACTTAGAAATGCTCTTACCCGCTTTCGTAGCGGATAAGAGGACATTTTAGACCCTGCATTAGCCAGTCCATTTACTTCACAAAACACAGGAAACGTGGCTTTCTACCTTCCTCTGAAATTACAAGTCCCATTGCACAGAAACTGCAAATACTACTCACCTGGTCCTGCTTTCAAGACACCACAGAAGTGATTGCTCAGCTGGACAGGTTTTTCAAGAGGTTAGTGTCTCTGAGAACACCTATAACTCTATGGTCTTGCACTTCCTTTTTCTGAAAAGAAATGGTGAAGATGGAGTCTGAACACTTGGAGACAACAAGCAGATCAAGGAGGATGTGACATCATACGTTCAGCTAATACAGCAGCTGACACAAAGGGCAGGGAGCTGTGCTGTGGAAACCCATCCAGTTTGAAACTAATGAGGGAAAAAAACCAAACCCAACACTCAAAAAGGAAGAGGAAATTGAAACCCATTATCTCTACACATTAAGCTTTTCTACTGCGACAGGAAAACGGTTGGTTTTGTTTTCTCCTCCTTTGCAAAGAATTCCCTGTGCTCATGCTGCTTGGGTGGCTGCCATGATAACTGAGCTGAGAGTTTCACAGGGCTGCCTCCTCCTGCCCCAAGACTTCAGTTCTGAATGCTCCTTTGAACACACACTCTTTAGACCAATTAATTTACTCATTCATTAGGGAATACTCCCTCCCTCTTATGTCAGATAGTTCATTGAGTGACTTTGCCAAATTCAGGTGTCCCTCATTTTATGACAGTTTCCCCTTGTCCCTGTACTCAATAGCAGCTGACCTTCCCTTACAGAAGATATGTTCACACGTTCATAAAATACCACTTTTATCCATTCAGCCACTAAGTGTAGTGTTTACTGCAACAAATGTCAGGCCTATGTAGCCCAGACCCCTCTCCCCTCCCCAAATTCTTCCAAGCACTGCAGCACCATGGATAGACTCATAAGATGACAACACTGGGGAAGCTCTTTGGAATGCACCTTAAGCTATTCTCAGACCTTTGATCGACGGCTTTCTCCAGGCCCCAGGTCAGGTCCCACCTAGTATCAAAATCACAGAAGAGTTGGGGTTGTAAGGCACCTCTGGAGAACATTTGTCCAACTCCCCTCCTCAAAGCAGAGTCACCTGGAGCAGGTTGCTCACAAATGTGTCCTCTTGGCTTTCGACCTTGCCCTAGGACAGAGATTCTCCAACCTGTCTGTGCAACCTGTTCAGTGTTTCACCACCATTCCTTTCATTCTACTTTCCTGTGTTTCAATGTGTATCTATTGTGTCTTACCCTATCACTGGATTCCACAGTGAAGAGCCTGGCCTGTCTTCTTTATCCCACCCATCTTTGATCAGGTATTTATACATTTTGACAAGACACTTCCCAGATCTGCTCTTTTCAAAGAAAAACAATCAAGAGCTCTCTCACTTGTCAGACAGCACATGCGCCAGTCCCTTTCTCATCTTAGTGGCCTTTCACTGGATAACCTCCAGTATGTCGATGTCTTGCTTTTACTGGGGAGGCCAGAACCTGACACGGCATTCCCAATGTGTCTCACCAGTAGTTGGGGAGGATTGCTTCCCTTGACCTTGCAGTTATTGCTCTACATAATGCAGGGCAGCAGCCTCTTGGCTGCCTTTGCCACAAGAGCACATTGCTGGCTCCTGGTCAGCTTGTTGCCCACAGGACCATCAGATCCTTTTCTAAAAAGGTGTTTTCCAACTGGTCAACCCATGTACTTCTCCAGTCTATCACTGCATTGGCTCTGCCCAGGTTTGCTAGAAGCCACAGCCAGCTTTATCTCACCTAACTTTAAAAGTCCATGGTACAGGCACCTGTGTTCCCATTACAGGCAGCAGTGCCTGAAGTCACTTACCTGCTTGTGTAGCCTATATGAGCATTAAATGAATGACCCTGCATGATACATTCACTGGATCCCCAGTGACATCTTTTTATCGTCACTGGGGACACTAGTCCTAGTCCTGGACATGGCCACTGGTCCTTCTGCTGATGTGGACATGTCCGCCTCTGTTCTTCCACAACACGTGAAATACTCCAGTGAAATACTTCTCATAGCAATGTAGAAACAGGCAGATACTGAGACCCTCAGAGTGTGACAAAGGCTCATTGTATACTCACATGCCACAAGAATTTCTTCCACAGAGCAAGAAACCTGCTACTGCATATTTTCTGACAAGATATGATTTGCAAAATATTGCATATAATGTTCACAGCCTTGCTTGCTCAATTTCAAAGCCTAGATAACCAATGCAGTGCTGGAAATATGAAAACCAAACCCCAACAAAACAAAAAACCCCAAACAACCAAACCAAACCCCTGAAAACCAAGTCCAAACAAAAATTGTAAAATGTAGAGAGACACCTTACTGCATAAGGTAAAGGCTGACATTTAAATAACAGTGAGTTTCCCTTATTCCAAGCACAAAAATGATTAAATGGAGTACAAAACCAAACAGACATAGGGCTGCTACCATAGATGATCTTGTAACTCCACCATGTAACCAGTTTGATGCTGCTTGATCAGCGCATGGTCACATATACTCTCGGTGCCCCTAAAGAGTACTCGGGCACCCTACACTGAGCAAAGGAGTATCCTGCCCTACATAACTGTAAATGTGCTTCACTGATATTTTTCTTGGTAACAAAACCACAGACAGCAAAAAATGGAAACAGCCAAAACCAGATGATAATATTACAAGAAGCCAAACAAGCAACACAAGTTCCTGCAGTTCTCTGCTTTTCAAGCTGTAACAGCAGATTCTGAGAAGTCCCTGAAATCTGGCAAATAATCTCTAATAGGAAA